GTCATAGACGTGGAATCATCACAGACTCGTTTCTTGAACATGACAATGAGTTCACTGTACTCAAATGGCCTCCACAGTCACCAGATCTCAATCCAATAGAGCATCTTTGGGATGTGGTGGAACGAGAGATTCGCATCATGGATGTGCAGCCGACAAATCTGCGGCAACTGTGTGATGCCATCATGTTAATATGGACCAAACTCCCTGAGGAATGCTTCCAACACCTTGTTGAATCTATTCCAGGAAGAATTGAGGCAGTTCTGAAGGCAAAAGGGGGTCCAACCCGTTACTAGCATGGGGTACCTAATAATGTGGCCGGTGAGTGTATAGCACCAGTTCACAACACATGTCATCTCAATTCACTTTACAGAGGCAATTCAACCAGATCATACAGTCAGATTGATTCAAATTTTTCTATCTAAGGAAAGCCAGTTGATTGCATCGACTCATTGACTCGAACGTAATCCCTCACACCAAGCATGCCTGTAGCGACAGTGGAGAGGAAAAACTCCCTTTTAACAAGAAGAAACCTCCAGCAGAACCAGGCAAATGTCTCCTACAATCATTAAACAGTCATAACACACATCACTGATTAAAGATCAGAAGCAGGGCTCTTACAAAAAAATAAAGAATATTTAGAACCAAATGTGCCCAGAAATACCTTTTTCTACTTTAGTAAATTGTTTAGAAAAAAGTGGCCACTCCCCCAGTTCTCTTCTGCTGTCTTGCAGAGAAAAGTGTAGCTTGGAGGAGTCGACCGTGTTAGAATTTGTTCCTCTTTTAATTTTCTGTGAACATGTTTCTGTTTAAAAAAAAAAAAAAGATCATGATCACTGTCATTGTAATGACAGTGATGATGACCATTGTGTAGTCATTATGTGGAACATGATAAATGATTAGCTGGAAGAGGTGATTCATATTTTTGACTGAAATAATGGGCTTCAGTTTGAGTATATTTAAAATAAATGCCTATTAAAACTTTATAAACCGTTTGAATCTTCTGAGAATGAGGATGAGTATTTGAATAGGTTACATTTTATAGTTGTTTATAAAGGACAACAGCTAATCTTGCATTTTTGTCATGGATATTAATGCTGACATGTCAGATAGTGAGAGAAAATGTGAAGATATGTTATGATCTCAACCACTTATGCTCCATGTTAACATTGATAACATTGAGTCATCTAAAGAGGCTTTTAAGTATTCTGAAATTAATCGTAAGCATGTATATCACTTATAAGCCATGTATGATCTTATTGTAAAATGTCTTAAAATATTAGTGTGCCGATATCAGAGCTGGATGAAAGGATTTTGTGGCTGACTACTATGCTGCTGCTAGAGAGGCCTTTATTATAAAGGAGGTTTTGTTAGATGCTTAAAAAAGCATGCATTGCATTTCATTAATGGAAATGCAATGGGGGCAGACTCTTGCAAAAAAGTTACAAAATATCCTCTTCCCTTTAAAGAGGTCAGATTCTTGAATATATCAACTAAACCACTTCCATCTGACATCGTTAGTAATCCAGAAAAAAAAAGAACATGAGCACCATCTTAACCTCTTTAACTAACTTTAATGACTTGATGCATGTTTATACACTAAGACCACTGTTATTCATGTGTATTTTTCCTAACCTAATCATATCTGTAATGTTAGTGTCTAATAGATGCCAAGGCTGGTAGGCTAAAGTACGATAGTCATCAACCTATTACTTTAGCCAGTACATTGTCTAATAACCGACTAAAGAAATTATATTTAGATACAGGGTTCCTACAGCATAAGGCAAGTTAAATTCAAGACTTTTTAAGACTTTTTAATGCCACTTGAAATAAAAATTTAAGACCAAATTCACAAGAAACGCAAGAAAAACCTGCTTGCGACAACTTAACCCAAAGG